AATAATCTTTTACATGTAGTGTTTACTAATTTCTAAAGAAACCTCCATAAAATAAATAAATAAGAGGATCAGTAGTATATAAGTAATGTTTGAATGTTTAAAATTAGTAATACCGGTAATTCATTACTTTGATATAAACGTTATATCTTTTCATATAATATTTAATCTTAAATTTAAACATTCAACCTTTTTACTTCTACACTTTTAATTCTTTTAATAAATCCCATAAACTCATGGTGCTAACAATAGTTGACTAGAGTAGAAATAAGATAGTACAGCACTTCTAAAATTATTGTATAGAAAACTGTATAACTCACTAAACTGACAATAATTCTCAACTTCGGCCAGTGCTAATAAGCAATGACAAACACTTGGATACACTAGGACCTTGAAATATTGATGCACCATTTCAGTTATTTTCTTAAGAATGCTTTCTCAATCATTCTCAATGAGTAAAAGTAAAGAAAATAAATCCAAATTCTGCCTTAGGACAGCTATCTATATAAACATTAATCCTGGAGCTTTGGACTACTTTTCCTGGCGAGTTGAATTAATTACTGATATAAAGTGTTTTGTAAGAGATGGACAGCCAAAAATATGGTTAAACTGTAGGAAAAAAGCATTTTTTTACTGAAGGCAATATTTTTTTTAATCTTTATTAGTTGTGTTTAAACATATCTTACTTTAGTTTTTCACAACAGTTCTTAAAAAATTCTTGTAAAAACACAAGTCCAAGTGTATTGTAAGATCTATATTGAAACAATAATAGTGCAAATTGGTTTATTAGCTCTGAATTCAATCTTTTAGTTAGTGTAAAATCTAAATTGATACTGTATAAACACAAATGGAGTTTTTGTAAAAGATAATTATTAACTTGAACCGAAAAAGATAATCATTACCCTACTGTTGTTTTATTTTTGCATACGGTACATTTTAAATATTAAAAACTTGTATATTACTTTATTTATATTTTTTATTTATTTTATTTTATTTGTAATTTTAAAAATTATAAACCCATTTAATCAAAAGTATTTTCCTTATAACAAAAACAATTTCCTTTTTTAACACCACTTAGTTTCCCTGTTAATTCGGAGCAAAAGAAATTATCTGTTTTGTTAAGGTTTAATTTATTATTTAAAACTAAAATTTTATTTTTTAAGTATTTTTTAAATATAAAATATACAATAAATTTAATTTATTATACTGTATTTCAGTTATGCTTGAAATAGTAATTATTCTAGTGTAAGTTTCCATGTTGAGTCTTTATACACACTAGTCAGATGATTTAAATGATTTTAGATTGGAAAAAAGACAGATTTGCATTTCTAAGTTGACAAATAATAATTTTCAATTTGGGTTTCTTGTTGCGAAATTCCCCAATACAGTACTGAAAGAGCTGTTTACCATAGGTCTCCTGGCAAACAAGACCTTTTTAGATCCTCAACTGTTTTACTCTTTTGTTTTAGTTTTTCCGAAATTGAACGCATATACTGTCAGCACAAAATATGGAGACCATAGTAACTGAATGCTTTCTTAGTGGTTTATCTAGCTCTAGAGAATTGGCTGGTCCGCATAGTAAAAACCAAGCAGAGCTGAAAGTGTGTACCTAGAAACTTAACTCTGTGAAAAAGATGTTTAAAGGGCTTTTTATTATGTTAACTTTATTCAACTGAGTCAGTTAACCAACACTTGATTTTCTATTAACTGAAGTATAGGGGCTGCTTTTAAACTTGCAATATATGTTAACATATCTTAATTAATTTGGTTGAAAAATTTATAAATCACACAAATTTATCATACCTAAACAATATTTCCAATTTAACATTCACAGTTTGAACACAATTCAAAAACAAATAAACAATATCAGCGATCTGACACATACTTTCTCCCATTAGCTTGTCAACAACCTTAATCATGGGTAAGCGATTAGAGTAACAAACTATGATATTTAATAGGTAAAATCTAACCGTAATTTTTACAGGAATGGCGGGTTGCACTATTTTGCTTAGAAGGACCATAACAGACAAATTTCAATCAGAATTGTTTTTTTCAAAAAATCCATTATCCTTTTTTTGTGGGTTTTTATGGGAAAATAACATAAGTTACAATAACTTTTGAACCGTAATTTTTACAGGATAGGAAGTTCTACCATTTTGTTTAGAATTTAATTTGGGCTACAATGTACCAAATTTTTATCAAAATCGTTCAAGACATAAAAAAAAAATCAGTTTTTTTCCGTTATTTTATGGAAAGATCACCATTAACACACACATACACAAAAAACATCACTTCAAAAACCACTTTTTTGGGTCCAGAGAGTCCAAAGTTTATATATCCACTCAAAACTCAAACTCAAAAATGTTGACGAAAACAATACTTTCTCCATATACCGTAACTATGTATAGCCGAGAAAGTAAAAATGGGTTAAATATGTTAAATAGCTAGTCTAGTTACCTAGTTGAGATTTTGACTGCAATTTGAAGGAGAGGATACAGACAGAAGGCTAGACAACAGAAAAAGAAGAGAACATAACTCAATTAAATATTCAAAAAGAAATTTATTTCCTCTAAAAAAAAATTTAAATTGAAGCACTTTTTCTTATTAATTAAACCAGAAGGTTAAAGAAGAACGCAAAATGATAAGTAAGATTGTTAGTCTGTTATTTACAGATGATGGTATTAATATGTATTCAGAAAAAGCACATCAGAAATCTAAAACCTGGCAGTCTACATAAGAAAGAGAGGATTTAAGTTTTATGGAAATATTACCACACTTCCTCAAGAAGACCTGCCGATAGGATTCTTCCTTAAATACAAAAGTTCAAACAACACCAAATTAGCCAAGCTACTGTAAAAAAGCACAAAAAGTTAATGCCGCATCTAAAAATTTCCTCAAACTTTTTGAGAATGCCATGTTTGTTACAGGTAGATGATGCAACAGAGCTTTACACATAAGCGCCACACTTAAAAATATACTTCATGCAGAATATTAATTTGTTTTCCATTATACTTGAGAAGGTCAAAAAAGAACCTCTTAAACAGAGCATACAGAGTAGTACATAATTAAGGTCTCCATTAAAGAAACTCATTGTTGCAATCACAACCTCAAAAAATCCATCATAGCCAAAATGCTGGTATTTTAAATTACTAATTTGAAGTTTTAGCAAATAACAGCTGAAAATTAATTTTTTTACTCACACTCCTTACACATTCCTTAAAACAGTGAAATTTTATTTTTATTTTTCAGCTTATAATTTTCTTGAAGTTTCATAAAAAATATATTTAAATAGATGAAATTTTAAAGTCAGGATTCAAATTGTATGGATTAATTTAAGTTCGACTAATGTCATGTCAACTCGTTCTATTAATGAAAAATTGTCATGTGATATCAAAACTAAAACTTTTCACTTCTATGTTGGTTATTGAAATTAATAACTTACAATGAATAATATATAAATATTTCAAAACAACTGCAGTACTGTTATTTTTTGTTGACAATGTGTTGTTCAGGAAGAGCCGCTAGATTGACAGTAAGGGTCTAAAGAGAGTCAATTGTTTTCATCACTGTCAAATGTGCAATTTGTGTCTATACAAATTTGTGATTTTCCTTATCTTTCAGTGTTGTTATAAGTGTGGTGCTGTGACATATTTTTCTTTTCTTTCTAACTCCAAGTATAGAAGTCCCTTTGAATTTCCAAATAGACTTAAACATTTTTGAATGCATTTTAAAAACACCAAACTATTGGTACTTTATTTGCTAGAAGATAAACGAGAAAATACTGCATAATTTTGAAAATCTGATTGTAGTAAATGTTTGTAGGATTATCCCAAGTAAATATTTATAAAATGTTATATTCAAATCTTGCACACAATCACAAATTAAAACTTGTGATCAAACTGTACTGTTAACCCACGCTTCCTATTGTGTAAGTAGAGTTCACCCAACCTATCTTATATGCTCAACAGTAACATGATCGGAACATTATTAGCACAGAAGCTCATTTCTTGTACATGCATTATAATAAGGTTTAAAGTGATTTCCAAAATAAGAAAGCGGTGAAGCCATAACACTGCAAACTCCTGTTTAAACAGCTCAGTATATTGCTTTTACTGTACATTGCATTTGTTGCACTGATTAAACATATATTTTCTTTTGTAACCAGTATCTATAGTATGTTTTAGGATTCCTTCTTAATAGGTTGTAAAGGCTAGCATTGATGTAAATTATTAATATTTTCATAAATACAATACAACTGGGTGGCTGAAGAATGGTTATAGTGCTTCACCTGGTAATAAGAAGGTAGCTGGTTAGATGTTGAGGAATGTCAGTAACTTTTTGATAGTTCGAAACTGGACCCAGCTGTCTTTCCTTCGACCATTCGACTTTTAATAATTAGCCGACTAAATAAACTTCTGATCACAGTTAGTAAGAACTACACATATTACCTCACTCTTTTCTCATTCATGTCACAGAGAATTAAGATACAGAGGATACAAGCTTATGGGGCAACCGTGTGCTTAATGTACTGGTATTGAGCAAGGAAGAGCCTGAACGGCAATGGCCACAAAGCATTGTTGTACAGCAGTTATAGCGCACAGGGTCTTCCTACAGCGACAGCGCTGCAGTACGTGATGGCAAGGAAGGAAAGGAGAGTGGGAGGGGTCTAGACACCAGCAACTGATGCCAGACACCACTTAAGTGTACCATTGAATGTATCCTCTGTTTCTTATTTATCTGTGCATTATACTGAGGTTATACTACGCCTCAGTTGGGTCCCTAATTTTAATAGTGATACATAGCAAACTTGGTAGTACAATTAGTTGCCAGTTTTAACTTTTGACTTCTCTGAATAATGTTGAAAGCAGTATCTGGCATCGCTCAGAAGGCAGTGTTTTGATTTAATGATATTCATAGTTATTTTGAAGGGGAGACATATGCCTATGAAATTCTTTTACAAGTGCTAAATTATGTGATGAGTCTCATTCTTGTGTTTTCCTCAGGTGAATATGTTCTGAAGGAGGACATCAATGTGACTTCTCTGTCTGTTGATGATCCACCGTCCGCCCTCCTTCAGGAACCCGACTTCTCATTGGAACAAGCATTTGAACTTGTCTGCCTTGATGAATCTTGCACTGAGGTAATGTTAGAATTTCTCATCTAAAATCATTTCACTTTAAGAACAAATTTACAGAATAGGTTGTTACTGAAACACTGAAACTAATGTTTTGTTTCAATCATTTCAACAACACAAGTTCCTTATATTTTTTACAGAAATTGTTGTCTTTAAGTTGGTATGCTGTATCTAATGGCACATTGATATTGCATTAAATTAATATACTGTATGGACAAATTTAAAATCAAGAACATGTTTGTTTGTTAAATATCAACCTTACTCTTACTGGTAATCCTAACCCGGGAGGTGTTTCACTAATCTTTAAAAGACCGTTTTTTTTCTTTTAAATTAAATTTTGTTTACCATAGTGCCAGTCATAATTATCTTGACTAAAATACTTATAGTAATAGTATGATGTGTTTCATTACTCCCCATGCTTTTGCCCTTCGGGCCTTTTGACAGCTTCTATGAAGTATTATTGGCATTAGAATGTGCCATTTTTTGCAAATTAAAAATACAGTTAGTTGAACCATATACTTATCTTTTATGCTAGTAGTTTTAATTACTTCACAATATTTGTATTGTAAAAGTATACGTTTATAAAACGTAGTAAAATTATAAAACTTGGAAATAAGATTAAAATTGGCTCCTACCAAATATTCATGAATCAAAATTCCTTTCACCTTCCAGATCCTAGGTAAGCAGGACAATGGCAAACCATGACTCATCTTTAGGAGTTGCCACCGTAGTAGTACTAATTTTTAAATTTAAAAAATGTTAATGTGCACAAAAAAGCTTATTATATCTTTATGATAATTAATTAGTGACTGGTTTTATTGCAGTTGGAAACAAGTGCTGAAGCGAAGCCAGACAGTGAAGAAACGAAGAAAGATTCTGAAGACGTATCTACATCAGATGCTGCTGAAGACTTGGAGTTGCTCTCTGAAATGATTCAGACTCCTCAGTACCATGCTCGCCCTTTCCAGGTAACCTTACATATTCTTCTTATAGAGAGTGTTTGGCTGTTTTAGGCCCCTTTTGTGCACAGTGGTAGCGGATTTTAACGCCCAAGCTAAAAACAAAGCGGCTGCAAAATTCTCAAGCGATTCGCACCCGCAGCCCCACTAGTGTTTTCATATCAGCCGTGGTAGGGGAAGTAAGTGCTGCCAACAATCTGTTAATCTGTTACTATCATTGGGTTGACATTGACTCTTTTTCTTTTACGGTTACCACCTTACTATTTAAACTAAAAATAATTTGTAAAACTGTTAAGTTTACGCTTATTAATACACATAAGCAAACCTTGGTTAGATAGTATATAGTAGAACCGCTGATATCCGGCCTTGGTTTTACCGGTCCCCTTCCAGGAAGCCAATATCAAAATGTTTTTTTTTAAACTTACAGACGTGTAGCTGCAAGCACATATGTCTTTGCAACTTGATCCGCTTCAGGTTTCTTACTATGTATCTGCTTGTTTATACATTTTACTGTGTCACTACTCAGTAGAGCTAGTAGCCTCTGAACAGATGGTTGATTATTTCCAAAGCGGGGTTAGTTTAGTTCATTAATCGTTGTATTTCACAAAATGGATTAGAAATTTGAGTAGAAATTTATAAATTTATCTCAGAACAGACTTGAATGTTACTTTTGACTGCATATATTGATTACATAATAGATATTATTATTAGGTATCAATTTTCATTTTCCTAGTGGGTTGTTTTATCCGGCTAAATCGTTATCCTGCTAGAGGCTTGGTGGGGGCCGGATATGAGGGGCTCTACTGTAGTTATAAAATATTAACTAAGCCTCAAAACATTAAAAAAATTAACCCAAGGTTCCAAGGTTGTGACTTTTCTGGTTTTACCGTGGCTTCATTTATACAATAATTTATACTAAAAAATAGTCTGTACTTGGTGGGTTGTTAAATAGGGTCTTCAAAATACTTTTTCTAGTTACCTGTAAGCTGAGTCTGAAACATCTGTGAGCTTTAAAAAATCCATCTGGAAGAGTAGGTTTTACGGTTAAAACGGCAAATTATAAAGCATTAACAATATGTGTAATATAATGTCAGCAATTCAGGTATAAAAAACTTTTTCTTCTAAAACATTGCTTTAAAGTAGGTACTGTACACAATTTAAGATATTTTAAGCCATGTAAAATTAGTAGGCCTACGAACGGTCGAGGATATTAACAAAAGTACAATACATTCCGTCAAAAGTAGTAAATTTACGGGACCAAGAAGGTTGCAGCACTTAAAGTGGGAGCGGGCCGTGCAGCTGTGCAATTATGTTCCCTCAGGACCCAATGTACATACAAACTGCTACAAAGTCACGGTTCCTATGCCCACCGCTCTGAATTTTCGGGCCGCTCCGTTGTGCATAAAAGAACGCATTTGAGTCAATATACTTATAGAATCGCAGTGGCTACCTCTGTGTGGCTACTGCTGGTGCATAAAAGGGGCCTCAACCTAAAATGTGATAAAAATATTAGCTTTACAGTTTTTTTTTCATATTGTGATAAGTACATTACTTATACGACCTTCAGACTTTATTCTGACTGCATCCCTGCCTATGTCCCTCAAGTGGTGGATTTGAACCTGAAAGACACAGTCCTGATGTATTATTGACCCTTCAAGGCGCAATTCTTTTAATGCCCGCTGGCCGCTGGACCCTGCTATGATAGTATTTCGCCAAATTGCATTCATACCCTCGATTTGCCATTTGCTGGTCAGCATAAGTGTTTGGTCTAGCCATGATTAAATTCATAATTTCATCTTAAAAATAGAATATAAAAATACCTAGGGGACTATCAATTGGAAATTTAGGTCCATATTCACAAGTAAATGGTTCTTCTCTTAAGGGTTCATATCCTTGTAATAAATTTCATGTTTGAAAAAAAATGTCTCTCTTGCATTCACTACGACCAGAAACAGGTGTAAAAGGTCGAGCAACCAATGGTTACTATGCTGTATACAACCCAGTTTAAAATAGCTCACTAAATCGTCGTCAGATGCCACTACCAATTGTGTTGCATCATGAAGTTTGAGTCTTGTCAAACCGTAGCAGTGTCTTTTTACGTGTGACGAAGAAGGCTTGTAAAACCGTCAAGAAAGGTTAAGGGGAAGCTTAGAAAAGCAGTCAGTTCTTGCATCAAGTAGAAATTCCATCTTTGGAATATGCCATACGGCTCTTAGAAGTGCAAATTTTCTGGATGAGAGCAACCTTGTAGGTAATGCAGTGGCCCATATTGGTAGCTAGAGAAATCAATAATCTCTGTTTGCATGAGGTAATAAATAGGCTCAACAGGTAATTTTGTGATAATTGATTGTCTTTCACTTTAAGTAAGACAGAGATTAAATTCCATTGAAATATGATCTTCTTGACCAGTTAAAATGTCTCTAAAACTTTCGCTGCGGCACGCCAAATGGCAGGCGTATCCCCAGTGCAGCATAGCCCGCAGCGTCGAACAAACCCGATTGCCGCGTGTGATTGGCTTTCCAATTTCGGTCTGACGAATAGCAAATCAAGTGCGGGGATGTCCTGCTTTACGATGAGAGTCGACGTAGTTCGCTAAACACCCACAGATAGCAGCACTGCTTGGAACATAGCCGGTCCCATTGGAATTGTATTGCCAAATGGAGGGAAAAAGACAAGACAAAAAGTTTATTTTTAAGCTTGCCAGACGGGGATTTTGAGGGAAAATTACTACCAACCTACACCACGACAAAATGCAAGTCACACACTACACGCCAACGTGGTATAGGTCCGCTTTCGACCGACGCTAGACCAAAAAACGAGGATATACAAAAGGCATTGCCGAGCGTTCCCGATCGGGTACGGACGCACCCTCTCCATTAGCTAACTAGCTTGGATGATTATTCCATTATATGTCACGTGTTTCATATGTCCATGAATTATACAAAATCACAGAGGGATGGGAAACTACGTCTCTAAGTTTACGTCGAGTTACAGACACTTCTGAATGTTTCTCTGAACTGGAAGAAACAGACCCATCATTGATCATACTTCTTTTAATCTATGATACTACTCAGGTGATAGATACCACACACGTACACTGTGGGTCACTAATCACTAAAGACTCATTGGTGTCAGGATTCAGATCTCTGGACCTGAGTAGACTTTTTTACTTTTCAGTTTTAAAATTGAATTACACATAATACCTCTGCAGTCAGTTTACTTGGATACTTGAAGTATTCCCACTGGTATCGCATCATCGGTTCGTCAGTTTTTTTTTCTTGTTCTTTCCTTTCTTCATATTGATAGTATATCCTCTGTTATGAATTATAATGATTTGAATTATGAGTCAAATTAACTACCTCCTAAAAACTACAACAATACTGAAAGTGATAAGTTTAAAGTGTTTGTCATAGAGTTTCTAAAATTATGTCTGAGGAGTAGTGACGTCATTCTGACGTGTTAAGTTAGAAAATAGTGATCGTAAAGGGGATCAGGAGGTTGATGTAATTGTTATGGGTATGATCACTGTTCGATAAAAACCGTACTGAACAATCACGGATGTTGCGGTGATCACTTTTCCATTGTTATTGGTGGTTTCAAGTTTTAGCTGGGTCACATAAACCTAAAATAAAAGTAACTCTGCACTAATGGACATGTTATCCTATCTGCACCATGCAGCTGGCATGCTACGGTTTGTACCACCAAACAATGTGCCGTGTTGGCACCAAGAATTAAAAATCATGTTTCATTACTAACATTACTTTTCTTAAGAACCAGTTTTGCCATCTCTACTGTAAAATACAATTATGGCAATCATGAAATATATTCCCTAAAAAAAAAAATACCAAATTTGTTTTTAAAATTTTAGCAATATTTCTTGGGTATTTTAACTTTCATATTCAGACAATCAATTTTAGTATTTCTGGAATCTGATTACAGTCAAGTTGGTGATTTCTTTTATGGTTTTATCTAGCATGATTTCTAATGTGTAATTAAAAATGTGCTAACTTGGCATCCTAAAAATTCTTGTATCTGGTCCTAGAAATATCTTCTGATTTGCCCCCTGAGTTTGATAGTTCCATTACATCTCCAATAGTTTATTGTTTCAGCCCAGAAACATTGTTTAACAAATTTGTATTTTTTGACTAAACTTATTTTCCTATTAGCTGATAGGAAACACTTAAATGTCATTCCTCAGAATATTTGCATATATTAATGTTACCTCGTGCTTGATGATTGTATGAAAAAAAAAAAATTATAAAACCAATCTCATACAAAAAAAACTTTAAAATGTAGATTAAACTGTGGACAGCCAAATTTATTACATTTTGTTTATAATCAATATGCTATATTAAACCAATAATAAATATAAAAAAAACACAACACAACATGCCTATGTGGATGTGATAATTGTGTTGGTTTTTATATAGTGTATATTGTATAACCAATATGAATTATTATAATCAATGACAAAGAAATGGTGGTGCTATTAATCTAATCATGTTATTGTATCAACCTTCAACATTCTTCCAATAATACATTATTATTATTTTTTTCAATGCAAGCCTAAAGCAACAATACAAATATAGAGAATTAAATCACATAAAAAACCTACCTTCTATTTACTCTTTAAAAAACCAAAAAGCGTAATAGTAATAATTATAGTAATTGACTTATTTTTTATATTTTAAAATAAAACCGTTCATACTATATACAATTAAATATTGCCGTACTTTGTTATAAGTTAATATAAAATCATAAACCCACAATCTTAACTGTATAGGATAAGAAAGTCACATAAAAATAATGTAGTTTCTTCAACCACGCGGAGCTCCTTCAAAACACCGAACACTGTACTATTGGTTATATGTAGTGTTGGTTGCGTCTCTGCTTTTTGAAGGCACCTCGAGATTTTCGATTTTGTAACCTTGTCACACAAATCGTATCCAGGCCATAATTTGTATATTTATTGTTGTTTTTAACTATCGTGCTATTGGTAATTCGTGATC